TTAAGTTGCAATTTCCTTAAAAACGGTTAGTTCAACTACATAGTATAAAATCAGCGTATACGAATGAATTCAAAAGGTCAGAAAAAAAATACGAGGATACACACAATGTAGGTAAAAATATTGTATTAATCAGGTCCAAACTGTATCAAAGCCATAATAATTGTCAAATATTTTTTTTGGTTCTGATAAGTCATAATTTAATAATTAGGAAGTTATCATGAATGAGGAAAAGGAGTAAGGCTAGATTTTGACAATCTACGTAAACTTATTTGATTGACACAAACATAATAAAGTGGTACCCATCGAGAAAAATCATAATTAGAGTTGGCTGTGAAGTTTAAATGTTTTGGGTTGGTAGTTTAGCCACACATCCATAGAATTACATTTTAATCTTGAAATGAAAACTGAACGTTTGTGTCAAATTTGTCAAAACTTTTATTATAAAAATTACTCCATCGATGTGAAACATTATTTTGAATTTGATAGGTTAGATGACAGCTCCCACCATCTGGACATGGTAGATGTTTTTCCCCAGATAGCACATGACGTCTGAAAGACGTCTTTTTTGTGTCTTGGTTTGGTCTCAATGTCCTAGGACGTCATTAAGACGTCTTATAAGACTTCTAGCAAAAGCCATAATGCGGACGTATTAATGTGAGAGCCAAAAGACGTTCTTAAGATGTCTTAAAGACGTCTTGCCAAATCCATATATTAATGTGAGGAGAGCTCAAAGACGTATTTAAGACATCTTTCAGTCGGACGGAAACTTGCACGGTTTAAACAATTCAAATTTAACAAAAAGAATTAAATGAAGTGAAGTTTGACGTTTGGCTTAACATTACGTTCAAGCTCAAACCAAAAATTTTTATGGCCCAAGCTTATTGTGGAATGTGGATTATTGATTATTGTATTGTTTAACGCGATTATAGGCGCCAAAAGGACTATTGGACTATTATGTGCAATTGTTTTTATGTTTAGTCTCTTTCTACTTATAAAAATGGGACTAAAACTAGAGATGGAAAAGTAGTGGAGTTTCTGTTACCAATGTAGCACGTTCCTGGAATACTTCCTACAGGTAATAAATTAATATTTTTTATATACATAGAACATTAATATCCTGTTTCTTCTAAGTAAGAATAATTAATTGACTTGAAAAGTAAACATCTTAATATAAGATTTAATTCAGAAATTCGACAATTATAATATTTTTTTTGTTTTTATGGAGATTTCGAAAACTATTAATATCAAAAGTCCCCTATTAGATAGCAATTTTGAGTAAAGTTAAAGTAAAATTGTCAAAGTAGGCGTTTAAGCATAATAGATCATCTTCCCTTAAATGATTTGTTATAAAAATTCATTGATTTAAAATTCTAAGAAATTCATTCCATCTGTGACTAGAATGCTCTTACCTAAATTTCTTTTTAGGAGCTAATAATACAAAGGTAATTGCAAATCAGAAAGAAAGATAAAAATCAATCCAGTTATATAAAGAGGAGTGATCGAATGCACTACAAAGAAAATAATAACTTTTAGTGATCTGTGATTAATAGATATGTTATCAATAAACATTTTTCATTCTCGTTTTTGTATTCTTTATAACCTGCAAGGTTATTCTACTAATTTTAATAACCAAGATATTTGACGTCTCCCGTGCACGATGATATTCATTATTATAGACAGGTTATAGAATTAGCAGAATAAAAATAATGAGCGTGTTATTTATGGCTATTAATAAGTCGTCTTAAAGACGTCTTATTTATGGATTATTTAAGGCTTCACAAGGCCATTATAAGCTATTAATAAGTCGTCTTAAAGACGTCTTATTTATGGCTTATTTAAGGCTTCACAAGACCATTATAAGCTATTAATAAGTTGTCTTAAAGACGTCTTATTTGTGGTTTATTTAAGGCTTCACAAGACCATTATAAGGTATTAATAAGTCGTCTTAAAGAAGTCTTATTTATGGCTTATTTTAGGCTCTACAGACCAATATAAGCTATTAATAAGACTTCTTAAAGACGTCCCCTTTTGTAACATCAGACGTCTTCTAAGACATCTTTTAGGAAATACCAAACGTATTAAAGACGTCTTTAAGACGACTTTGTGCTATCTGGGTCATATCCTTACCTGTACCTAACAACAAATAGCAAGCAAAAATCGTGACACGCCACTTTTTTGCAATCAGATGAGGGACTAATTCGCTAAGAATATAAAATTGCGAAAATTAATTTTGTTTACAAAATCTACAATAGTACAATTTAGTACTAATCGTCGTCGGTTAGTTTGTTATGTTTTCAGGTAAACATTAAGCAACAAATCATCTTTGTGTGTGAGTTATTCCATTAATGGAAAGTCAAATTTAAAGTCGCGACCTGCTTGTATGGGATCGACTATCGTGGACCCTCGTTTACATCTCACAGACCCCAAATTATTTTTTTCGCTCACATGGACCCTATGAAGGTCATCGTCGACCCCATTAGGTCAATATATACCACTTTGGGTATCATCGATCTAGAAGAACTGAGAAATCAAATACCAGAAAAGTATGAAAATATCAACAATTCAGTGCAAATGGTGCATAACGTTTTTGGTGGATTGGGGAGAAGAGAATTCTGTAGTTTTTTTTTATTTTGGAGCAATATCATTTCGAAGTAACAAACTCTGTTTACAATGAAAATATCAAGTACTTAATAAATGTCAATCTGTGGAAGTGGCTAAAGTACCAACCCAAACCATTTAAATTTTACAGTAAACACCAAGTATGATTTTTCTCGATGGAATTTACAACTTTTACTCATCGTCCTCTCAAACAAAATATCTTGCAACGGTCTGTACCTTGATACCTTGTAGAGTTGTTTCCATTTAATTTTGTGAGTTACCCTCGTATAATTAGATTGAAATTTACATAGCAGTGGGTGAATAAATAAACAAATAAATACGCTTTTTAAAGACGCAGGCGCTTGTATAATAATTAAAAAATAATTTTTCGATACTCCGGTAAGCGACGAGAAGACTAACGTAAAATAACTGTACGTGTCCGTGAAGCGATGAGCAATGGCAATGTAAAATGCAATCATAAAATACTAAATAATCAGTAGCATCCAAATGGAACAGTGTGATTGTGTGGCAGAAATAGCATTGTCTAGGAGGAATCGGCGCATGAGTGTCAAAAACTACTCGGACGCCATTTTTTTGAAAAAATGGGCTCGGATTCATTCATTTTTAATTATTTGATGTGTATGGATTCATTTTTAATTATTTGATGTACATGCATTCAATTTTATTATTTGATGTGCAAGCATTCATTTATTATTTGTATCCAGTTATATTTCAAGTTCAGTAGTCAGTACCTTTCCTAAAATACCTCCTATCCCCGAAGGTGTCAACGTCTCGACGCCCAGCGTCCTGCCGTCCTACTCCCTACGTCTCGAACGCTGTCACATTCCGCACCATCTAAGTATTTCCTACCGTACACTAATTTCGACACTCAACGTCCCACGCCTTATTTCCGACGCTTGCCATCATTCATAATATCACGTTCCGCACCACCTACATAATTCTACCATATATCTGTCCCAATACAGTACCGTATTAAATAGTACCTTCCTTTCCACCACGACGCTAGGCGCCTCGACGCTCAACGCTGCGACGTACCTAAATCGACGACGTCACAACGCTAGATGAAATTAGTACATAATCTAATGTCTGTATTTTCAATGGTGAGTCAAAAGTTTTATGTAACTTTCTTTGAGATACCACCGGGGTTTCGTTTAAGGGCGGCTTGACATTTGCTATAAAATATTTCGTGAACCTTGATGAACTGTTTGGCCTGTCTCAGTCTTGGATAGTTGTTCCACCATTCCTGAGACTCTTTTTGTTTACAGTACTTCTCGTGGATACATTTTATAGCTAACTACATTATTACCCTGTGTAACAGGTAGATTAAATAGGTAAGCAACAAATATAAGTATTGCGAAGTTTTGATTTTTCTCAACAACCTCTCAAGAATGTTGCATTTACGTTGCATAGTAATGTTATTACGTTCCCTTAAAACAACATCGCCGAAAGGCTTGGCAATGTTATGTGCTAGCTGGGTATCCTAATAATATCTAATTAATTGTACATAAATATATAAATAACTCACATTCGTAAATCGCTGACGTATTAGTCTAACACGTCAGCATTTTACGAGGCTGTTAGTCTCGATACCAAGTAGCTAATGTGTCTGTGATTTCTGTATATCCTGGCCGACGTTACAACGCGGTCGGGCCGAATAAATTGGCAACACTGATATTATTCGTTTCCTGCTCGCTCTAATGCTAACTCTCTGTAGTCATTAGAATGTGAGCCTTCAAAATTTATGTTGCTTTATTACCCCGTTTTACTCTAATATTTGGCATATTTTTAAACGATTCTGTCAAAAAAATTGGGTCCGAAAAGTTTTCGACACTCATGCGCCGATTCCTCCTAAACTATTGTGTGTCTGGGTCTGTGCCTGTGTCCGTCGCTGTGGCTGTATGCTGTATCGCTGTGTCTGCTGAAACCATCGAGGGCATCGAGCATCGCGGATCGCAGTATCGCGAGTATCGCGGAGCACAAAAAGGAGGGAAACACGATCGGAATACGGCAAAGCAAACGGCATAACATCATCCATTCTGCCTCACTAGTAGCGCACGCTCACTGGCAGTTTTATTATACCACACAGCCGTCGCTACGATAAAATACGAAATACGATGAATCGAACTTTTTTCACATGTTCCGTGCGTTTAGTGCCGATCTGACTGACTGATTTCGATTAGTGCTCTCTCCTGACAAAACCAAAACAGATTTCGTGTTTACGTCCCAAGTGGAATCACCAACACCAATGTACATGTCACATTATGACTTCTCGTTTGACAAGCGGTGTATTATTCTCTCCATTCAGTTAGTGTCCCAGCTATGGCCGATTTCGTTATAAAAATACGAATCGATTATTATTTGCTACAATTTCAACGTAGTGCATGGAAGATATGGATGACAGGACCAGCATTACGAGGTCTAGGAGCTCTTATTTAGATGCCGAGTCACCTGGTAAGTAATCGCTAATTTTCGATCTACCTACCTTACTATTTTGACGACCAAATATCACCCCATGTTTTATTAATCAACTGTGCTGAATTTGTAACGTTTTATTGTATTACGGCCCAGCCGGTTGAATGCACTTTCCAGGTAACATCCGATTTATTCGCTAAATCTGTATATGGATCCAATTTTTTTAATTAAACATAATTACACTTAACCAGATACTTTTTATTTATACAAGGGATCATATACCCTAATTGGAATTTCTGAGTTAATTTGTTACCCATAAGGCCTAAAATATACTTCACAATTATAATTAGTTTACTACATGCTGTCACCCTTCCGCGATTCCTTAATTTTTGATAGTTTTATACCTACCTAACCTAGTAGTCATTGTTTTTCCAGTTTATATTATCAAAATATACAAACAAACTACCCCCTTTGTCGTCCCCTCCCACGCCCCTCAAAGGACTTCGCTGTTTTAATTATGGAAGAATGATACCCAATTAAAATTTATTATTTTTTTAATAAAATTATTAACAGACCCAACTTCATCCTATGATTGGCTATTTTCAAAAAGGCTGCACTTAACAAAGTACCTACTGTAACTACAGGCCCTTAATCCATTTTTATGTAAAAGAATGTTAATTCGTTAAGAACCTAAAAGACTAAATTATACGTAAATCCCTTTATAAAAAAAAATACTTGGACCCAAGTTTAATTCTCCGAAATATGCAGCAAACTTACCTAGAGTGGCTCCAGGAAGAGGGCCATAGGGACCATGTCCCCCTCCTCGAAATTAAAATTCTTACAATTGTTCATAGGCGTTTTATTTAAAAAAGCTTTGCTAAAAAAAGGGAATAGATGTATTGAATACATTTTATAAACAATACTATCATTATTATTTTTAGTACATTACCAAGTTAAATGCTTTTAAGTTATGTAAATAAAGTTTTGCTTAGATTTGCTTTCTATTTTTTTTTTCCTTGAGATCCTTCAAAAAATAAATATCTAGTTTGACAATATCCAATTGAGCTATATTTTTTTTAATATTGCGCTATAATAGTTTGAAAATAAAAAAAAAATTGTTTTAAAACTGGTGTTTCATTTCAGAAAATCAATTTTGTTAATACTAAAATTTTAAAGTTTCGTAAATATTTATAATGCTTTTGTTTGTGATAAATTCATTCTTACTCTAGAGGTAAACTTTCGACCTCAAGCTACGGAATTACTCAAAGTTCAAAATGTTGAGATATAGTTTCAAAACATGTTTTTTTTTTACCTTCTGAAAAATCTCAAAAAGTGACTGTTGTTTTTCAAATAAGCGATTCAATGACTATTAACAATTTTACGTGAAAAGGAGTGATTAGGGGTGCTGAGTGCGAGGCCGAGTGGGTAAAACAAAGCCAATAGTTATATTATAAAATATTGTTAGGACAAGAAAATTATTAGCAAAGAATTCTTTACTATTTGATAATAAATAACAGGATAGTAAACTGTTTGTATAACTTGGCAACAGTGTAAGACGTAAAAGTAGCATTTCTGAGCTTTGATTTGGAACATTTTGTGAAGCTTATGGAACTAATATTTTTTTGTTACGAAAAGAAATCAAACTAGATAATGACCAAAACACGTATCACTACCAAGGGGGTGGGTGGTCTAGTGGTTAGAGTCAAAACTTTCGGATCTACGGGTCCGGGTTCAAATCCTGCCAGTTAATTAAAAATGAATTCTAATGAATAAGTAGGTTACCCCACTAATTAACGGTGCTATTTCTAAAGTGGCGGTGTAAAATAGTAATACAGCCTACACGGACCACGAGGCTAATGACCAGAGTAGTTAATGCCAATAACACCGAGTAAAAAAACAAATACCACTACCAAATAATTGACGATTTCACACGTTCAATTTGATTATTTATATTCCCAGCTAGAAAATTCGTCCTGGAGACACCTTTGCAACTTACACTAAGCATTTCCACTTTAAAAATGTTAAAAACATTACAAGAAAGTGTTTGTTTATTATATGATGTTAAAGAAACGAAAAAGTTCCAGTTTTTATTGCACACCCTGTTAATGTGAAGATCGAGAATGAATTTTTGTTCTATCCTTATTTGAACAATATCTTATAGGTAATAACGTGTGGGAACCTCCATGAGCTTGATAACTACCCTTCACAAGCCTTTATGGACATCCACTTCGTATACCAGCCTTTTCACGTATTTGTGAATTTTGTATCCATTGTACAAACCTTCTTAAACTCATATTAACTGGGAAGAGTGTATACATACACAAGCTTCACGAGTTTAGGCGAGCCTACTCAAATTTAGGCAAGCCTACACCTCCATGATCTTGAACGAGTCAATCTAAGGTTAACGCTATATTAGGCAGAAGGTGAGCCGCAGATCTTCAACAGCAGAACAACTGCTGCAGGCATAATTTAATTTTCCTATAATTTCTTACGAACAACTCATTAATACGCTACACTGAGCTGTTGATCCATTTAAATGCCTGGCATTTCAATTTATCCGTGCGCGCTTTATCTGTGGGGTATTTTAAATTGATCATCCGTGCGCGGATTATCCGTGGCTGGCGGCCACAGGTTGGCGCATGAACACCGGTCACTTACCAGTGGCGTAGCCACGGAGGGTTTTGGGGGACAGAACCCCCCATGGAGGGTCCTCGCGTCACTATTTCCGCTATAGTATTGGCGCTGATCGCTATTAACGGTTTGTGTTTATTCACTTTCTTATTCTTGTTCTCAAAAACCCCTCCCATGAAAAATGGTTGGCTACGCCACTGTTACTTACAGATGGCCATTCAACATTTGAAGGGCTGACATTTAATTTTTATACTAAAAAATTTACGAAAAAATATTAATTTCAATAAAATTTCTATATCTTCCGAGATTTTCTTTTTTGCCGCACTTCTCCGCCCTTCTCTGCTCTCACACACCTTCTCTCTCCTATACCAACTTATAACTGCTTCTACCCTTACTCTGCTATTTGGTCTTTTTTCCTTCAATATTGTGAAATAAATTTTATCTTGTTTCTTTTTTTTTAGCTTTTTATTATATCACATTATATCAATTTCAATACAAAAATCTGACAGCTGACAGTCCCTTCAAAAAATTTTAATTACCGTTTGACATTTCTTTCTTAAAACTATTCTAATTTTCTTAAACAATTTTTAATTCCCAGATTATGGCCCATCAAACGTTGATTAATCAATTTTGACAACAAAAAATATGTCACTAAATTAATTTTAGACCAGATATCAATATCCGTACTGTATATTCAATGTACGTTCTTTCATTATGTATAAATATTAAAACTTATATATTTTGTTATTTATCATGTTTTTTTGTTCCTTTGAAACATAAGTATTTGTCTAAATAAATTATTAAAAAATTAAATAAGGTTCTTGGATTATCCGTGTTTTGGATTATCCGGCAAAGACTCGGTAACGGCTGACCCGGATAATTGAGGTTCTACAAAAGATCTGCAGCTCATTTTCGGCAGCTGAACTTCTGACTAATGTAGCGCCAGCCTTGGTCTGTATGATCAGCAATCTTGTACTAACTTAGTCTTAAACAATAGTCATATCCCACGTAAAACAAGAAATTTAATGAAGATGGCCGTTCTTAGTGACTTTTATGACAACTTTCTTATCAGTTCTGTCAAATAGATCAATGATATTTTTTAGTGTTACTACTGAAGTTATTAATGTTACTTTAAGCCAACTAATGACATCAATTTAGTCACGTGGGATAAGGGCAATCTTAAATAATGATAAAGATGATATCATCATTGGAAAACTAGTAAAAATACTTTTCAACTAAAACTTTTTTGCCTTGGCTTCAATGGTAAATACATTTCCTTATATAAATCATATTTAACAACGAAAGCTGCAACCAGTGGGGTTCCCCAGTGGTCCAATCTAGGTCCCCTGTTATTTTTATTATTTATCAACGATTTATGTGATTAAATCGACATGAATAGATTGACTTTTACTGATCATTTACATTGTATACTCCTATATCCACACTGGATGATTGTGTAGCATTACAAGAGCAGCTAAATTATTTACAAAATTGCTGTCTTAAAAATAATATTTTCCTAAATATCAATAAAGGTAAAGTCATATCATTTTTTCGCTAGATCACTACTTTATACTTCCCTTATTCAATAATTAATAACATACATACCACTAGAACACACTAAAAATATTAGGGATCTGGGAGTTCAATTTGATAGTCAACTAACTTTTAACATGTAGGTATATGAATAATTAACTCAGCATACCTTGCATACTAACATCTCTATATTTTGGCTTAGTCAGATCAAAATTGCAATACGGATCATTAATTTGGAGTCCCATTTATTTTCAATACATGCTTTTTATTGAGAAAGTTCAGAAGGAGTTAATAAAATGTTTAATGTTTAATATTGTTGTAGTGAATCTAGAGGTATCTGTATCTGTATCTGTAACGTGTGGGAGGGTTGGTTACCTCCCACCATATTTAGGCCTCACTAGGCCCATTGTGCATCCTCCTAAGATGATAGGCACCTCCTAGCTCGTAAGCTAGCCTACAGAGATTCAATGTAGTTGAAAACGTCGCCAAAAGGGATTCTCTTATATCGGCCGGTGTTAGCCGATACTCGTCGAACACAAAGCTTTTAATAAATGAGAGTGTCGGGCAATCGTAGAGGATATGCTCGATGGTATCATCTTCTTGTTCGCACCCCCTGCAGGGTGCCAATTCTGACAACCCCATGATATGGAGATGCTTCTGTACTTGGCAATGACCAGGGTATCTATTCTTGAATCTCAGGGAGTAGAAATGAGACAAAAATACAAATTTTGCGCGTTGCAGATAAAGAGACAAAACCGGTTTTCTATCCCCTCGAATTCAAGAATAGCTACCCAGTCAGAATGTCTGTGACCAAGCGCAGATTCTGTCTAGTCATAGTCAAGTATGTGTTTGCTGCAGTGTTGTCAGGATAACTT